CTTTCTTCATAGTCACTGCCGTGAAAGCCTCAAATCTTACATACTGGATGTAAGATTCCAATAGATCAGCAATGATAGTTGAAAGAGGACTTGCACATCATATAACAGTCCAGTGGATTTAGGATGGCTGTAGAACCTTAATGGTGGTTGAAAGAGGACTGGCACATCAGTTAAGGTGCAGTTGTTCTGCTTTTCATTCTTGACGTGGCAGCTGCTGGACCATGTGCTCTTCAACCCAGCACTGTGGATCTACACTCCTGCTCCCGTCCAGGCGCGCCTATACTCATACCTGGCCACTGAATTCCTGTCCGACACGCAGATCTACTCTACTGTGCGGCGTGTGTCAACTGTGCTTCAGACTGTGCACACACTCAAGTACTATTACTGGGTAGCTAATCCACGTGCCAAGAGTGGTATCACACCCAAGGGGCTTGGTAAGTCATATTGTTACTGTGCTGAATCTAAGAACCAAGTCTGGCTGAATCATGATCTTAGGCGTATGTGTTCTTGTGATTTTGAGAGAGTCTAAATTTCAGAGCTTGCTCCCTGCTTCTGCTGGTTTCTTGCTTTACTTGCTCTTTGACCCTGAAGAAGGAGGCTTTATTTTCCTTTGATACATCGGGCTGTCTTTTAGCTACATGATCTTGCAGTTCAGAAGACTACTGTTCATATTCATGACTGTGGGAACCTTGAATGTAATATAATTTTTGGCCAACCTCTTTTGTATTATACTGGATTTCGTTTTTGAGCTGTATCACTCCTTGAAGTGTATCCAACCTTTGGTAGACATTGCAGTTGCTATCATCATGGTTATATCCTTGACTATTGTAGGTGAGAATAAGTGTATGTTGAGAGGTGACTGGATAGTGTTCTGAGCCAACTATCCCCTCTTCATCAGAGTAGGCACTGAAGTAATAAAACATTAAGAAAATATAAACTTAGATGACAGGTACAGACTAATAAAGATATGGAACAGAATACTTCTCAAGACACAATCATCTTCCATAACTCCACTTGACTTTTCATTGGCTAGCATATGGTTTGGAACACTAGCCAGTCAGATCACCATTTCATCCACTCATCCTCCATGGTGCCTGTATACAGTGACACATAGCCCATTCAGTACATATGCTCTTATAATGGAGGTTGCAGTAACATCCAGAGACTGGACAAAGTGGAAAGTGCAACAAGCAACACTTCTCAAGTTTTGAAGGCAATAATTTGTATGTCTGATTTCTTCTCAAATGATTTAATTTTAACACGTTCATGTCTGGGTACCAACATGGCTACCACACACTGTACTACACTTAAACATAAGGTGTAAAATGAGCACAATATTTTGTTCTCATTTTCAATGCTGAAGTCTCAGTATGTCCTGTACTCTGTGTGAGAAATCATTCTTTTGTGTAAGGGAAATGATTTCTTATTAAAGCACCATGTATTCAGAAGAATGAAGTAATTTTCATGCTTTTATAAATTATTTTTAAAATGCTTTAATGAAGGAGAGGTATATCTGTCTGTCTGCATGTTTCATCTCTGAAACCACTGAACGAATTCAGATGAAATTTGGTATAAGATATCCATGCCAGCAGTTACTTTGCAAGTTTTCTCTTGGTTCAGTATACTCCAACTGTGTATGAAGCTGAGATTGAATGTTATCTGTTTCATTTGTGAAATTGTAGGTTGTCATGTCAGTGTATGTGAAGATAACACATCCTAGAAGAGAACAGTAATCTTTATCTATTTTCTCTAAAGTGGTTTATTGTACAGAAAGTGGGTATATATTGTAAATAAAGTGTAGACATCACTAATATCAATAACCTTTGTTTGTAAATATTTTTATGTGATGAAAATTTGACAATGTAAAGAAAAATAATTTCAGACTTTATGCAATATGATGTTGAATGAAAGTATAAAGGGCGGGCCTTCTCAGCCCTTGCACTGTGACTTACAGTGGTCTATTGTGCTTAATATGAGGTTGATAATGTGATTAACTTTGCATCAGACATTCATATCTGCAAGGAATAAACATCAAGGCAAATGTGGTACCCATATTGACAAAGAAAGAATTTGTATTTGTGTGCTTCTGCTTCCTAGAATAAGAGTCACCTTCCCATTGGGAATGTACTGTATACAACATTTGTCACTAACTCTAACTTCCAGAGTAACTTTTCTCTTTTCTTGCTCTTGGAAATTTCTGTTGCATCTCTAGCTTTGGAATTTGTTGTGATTATCAGCTGAAGTCCTCATAACGTTGTCACGTGTTGACTATGTAATATGACAGTAATTCACGGGGGTCTCGGATGTAGAGAATATGTTTATTGGGAGAGAAGTGGAAGAAGTGGGATTTGACTTAAACATGCAAACAACACGCAGAACAGTCTGGGTGACATATAAAAATAGAAGCTCTGAAATATTGATATGTGAAGGAAAATTCAGAATTCCACTTTATGGTGTAAAGATTGGGGCTTTCCTGCTTAATCCACCTGTATGCCATGTACTATAAAGAAGAAATTTCCAGAATGCTTGCAGATGCAGATACATTAGCAACCATGTTGTTTCTACCAGGGTAAGGTGCCTTATGTACTTGGCCTCAGCAGTGGTTGTTAATTTACCAGTTTAATGTTTGATGCCCAAAATTAAAATGTAATGGAAGTAAAACTCTGTAACTACTCAGAATAGGTTGATTCAGCGAGGTAATAGAAAGCATCGAAAAGAGAGAGAAGACTTGATGACGAACTGAAAAGTAAGATTTGGGGGAAATATAAGAGATTTCTATTCATTGACCCATATAAATGGATGATGCTACAAGAAGAAGAAAAGGAATTAGGGGGAGGAGGTGTACATGCTCAAAAGAAACCATGTTGTAGAGCCCTATTTTTTGTACACATATAACAGATTTACACACCGCTGTATACTTAATATCACCAAATTTGTTTCCCCTTGGAACTTTTCTGTGTGCAGATCATGCTTACTATTCACATTAATTCACATTGCTATTTAAAAGAACGGAGATTAAAATAATGATGTAATTGGAGATGGACCTGTTTATATATTTAAAATGTATGAACCTTTTGGATAAAACTGGCTGGCTTGTAGAAATAATTTAGTTAGCATATTTGAATGTGTTTTTCATTGTGGGGTCATACTATTTTAGACAGTACTCCTGACATTTTGGAGGAACTTCCAGGATTCAGTGAAGATTTCAGTGCCAGAAGTTTCTGCAGAGTGTAGCAGACTAAAAACATTTAATCAATGTCAACATGAAAATCTCAGGACTCGTAATAAGTGTGATCTCTAAATATGCCTTTTTATTGCTTGTAGATGGACCACGTCCTCCTCATAAGGACATTTTGGCAATTCGTGGTTACATCCTGTTGTTCCTGAAGCAGCTGATTATGATTGGCAATGGTGTGAAGGATGATGAGCTGCAGAGTATTCTCAACTACCTCACCACCATGCATGAAGTAATTGACTGCCAGTTCTATTTAATTTGAAGTAACTAAATGTAGATTTGTTTAAAACTGTAATTAATATGCAAAATGGCTTATTCTTTTCAGTTGTGATATATTACATGTACAGAAGAATTACATTCAAATAGTTGCATATATTTTGTTGGCCTATGTCTGAACATTGTTTCACAACCTTAGATGCAGCTGATTTAAACTCTCCAGTTTTGCCAAAATAGTAGGTGTCAACACTCCATTCTTTCCTTGTGCGTAACCTTTCTTCTCGTCGTTTTCACTGTTCCTTGTAAATGTCAGAAATGGAGGTGTGCTTATTATATTTTCCACAGTAAGTCAGTTCATAGTATGTTTATTTACAATGTTAAATTGCAACATCCTGTTGCACTGCTTATATTTGACTTTACTAACTGATTTTTTGCCATCTATGTGCAATGACGAGAGAATACTAACTAACGTTGAACATAGGTTGCAAAAAAGTGGAACGAAAAGTCACGCATTTGCTTATGGTGCAGACACCCACAGTTCCACTTGCAGTGAGGTGCCTTTTTCTTTTTCTAAACACCATGCTTATAATGGCTTTGGAGATCATAATTTAATCTCTTTCTTTCCTGTCTTCCTCCACCGCTCTCATTGCCGCCACCACTGCCATTAACTGGCTTAGATTGTCTGACGTATTCTGAAATTTGAATCTTACAGACAGTCATCAGGACTCCTTGGATGGGTTATCAGCCCATCGCAAGGCCACTGCTTACACAGGACAATACAGATACCAAATAAATGCAGACATCCATGCCTTGAGTAGAATTTGAATGCATAATCCCAATGTTTGAGCAGGTGAAGACAGGTGTTTGTTTTCTTCCTTCTTTTATTCATATATAAGAATGAGAAGAGTGCTCTGCTCTGCTTCCTGCCAGATATATACCACTACTAATCCATTCCCTTAAATATAATAAGAATGCAAGAAGATGCATTTATTCCTCTGTGCTTCCTCTGTTGCTTTTTGATTTTCTGCAGCATGAAACTTCGGTTCAGGTAGGAAAGTTATGGCCAGTGACAACATTCTGTTGGAACTTGATTCAGATCATTTTTCTGATGTATCCAATAATGCAAGTATTGAAACAGAAACCTTGGACGCTTATGTGGTCACTACCAGTATGGTTACTGCCCATGATTTCAGAGGCATGCTGATTGCTTGATCATGACTTCTGTTGAAAGTTTTATTATGAACAGACACTACAGAAGACCAGTGATTATTTGGGACAGCATTGCTTACATTTTATTGTGTGTCTTTTGCAGGATGAAAACCTTCATGACGTGCTTCAGATGCTGATTTCCCTCATATCAGAGCATCCAGCTTCAATGGTGCCAGCTTTTGATGTGAAGCAGGGTGTGCGCACAATCTTCAAATTGCTTGCCGCTGAAAGCCTGCTGATCAGGCTCCAGGCTCTGAAGTTACTGGGATTTTTCCTCAGCCGCAGCACACACAAGTGAGTTGTCTGAGATCTCTCCATTCATCCACACTAAAGTATGTTTTATCACAATACTGCTGTACCTTTCAATCAAGTTTATTTCCATTTTCATAGGTGGATCACTGGTAACTAACTCCTTGGTGCATAGTGTTCCTTGAGGAGATACTCAAGTGGGCAACAAATTCTGGTCCTTTACAGAATATTACCTTAAGGATTGTGTCCTGAGCCAGTGGAATCCAGCCTCCACCTTCAAATCCTGTTTTTCCAATATCTGTTTAATTTTGTCATTAATCTATGCCAAAGTCTTCCAGGTGGTTTCTTTCCTTTAGGTTTCCCAATCAAAAACACTAAGAAAAGATGTAATTTTTTAGACTGGGCATAGATGATAGCTTCTTCGTGGAGCTAAGCCCTGGAGAAGCAGCCAGTTGTGCAGCTACTCAGGAACTTCCAAACATTTTATGGAACCCAAAGGTTAATTTCCATGTTCAGTCCATACCATCCCATCCTATCTCTCTAAGATCCAGTATCTGATATGCATTCCTCTTCTCCCCCATTTATGCTGCATGCCCTGGCCATCTCATCCTCCTTGACTTGATCGTTCTAATTACCGTATTTACGCATGTATAGGCCGC